CTCTTATGGGAGTCATAACGCAGCAGACTTCGACCAGGAGGTCAACATGAAATATAAAGGTCTAAGGTAGAGGCAGATCTGCTTTCGGAGAAGGACTGTTCTCTCTACTATGCAGTAGCCGTTGTCGTATGGCAGAAGTGTTTTAAAGCTGCAAATGCATGGACATCGCAAAACAGGCGTTCTCAGTATCGAGACATCTCATAATGATGATTTCAACCAACACAATGTATGCATACGTAAGTAGATCGTGTGCTCCATGTTCCATAAATCTAATACGAAAAAACAACGTGCTGACGACTTCTCTAAGAAGTGTCTTGGCTAGACAGCATGGTTTGGTGATTACGTCCAATTACGTCACCAAAAGTGTCGGGGAGGGGAGGGAGTGGCGCAAGATTATTGGCTCACAATCATTGACAGCCATGCAAGTGGTTTTTGCTTGGTGGACCTATGCATTACCGCCTTATTTGAAGTAAGTGTGCCGTATGGCTTACCTGAGTTTTTCCAGCTCTTTCAAAGCCTGCTAAGTCGATCAAGTACAGTTTTCCTTGCTTATGCTTGTTCACTCTGCTTGACGCCATGATCAATAAAATAGTGTGAGCACGGCTCGAACGGTAGTTCAGCGGTGTAGACTTCCTTGTTCTACGTCGATTGCCGTCGGCGAGCAGCTGTTTGCCCTAAAACGGGGTGTAAGAATGAGGGTGTTCAACGTATTTGCGTTTCGTTTCGGCACTTCTTCAGGGGAACTGATTTCGATCTGCGATAATCCTTGCAAAATCAGATTACCGGTCGAATCTTCTCGAAGCTCTATCGGGCACACCATCGGCTGAAGAAGATCGCGGACTTTTTCGTTGTAAACCTAAACTTGAAATAAGTCAAATTCACTTAATACCAACTGGTCACTTCTATGTAAGAAAGTTTAAGAACGGGGGCGAGACTTTCCTGTTCACCGCCAAGTCTGCTCATCAAGTCATCAATCGTTCGGTCCATCAAACCCGGCGCATTCTTGTTGCCAACCATTGTGTAAGTTTTTCCAGATCCTGAATTGTTTACTAGACAATGAAAATGACGATTTGAGATCTGACATAGCTAAGCATAAAGTTTAGTGTACAGAGTTGCAAGGGCAGCAATTATGATGATTAATAAAAGAGTGGAGACGTCGGTAAAGACTCTTATAAACATCATTTTTCGTAGTTGCTTGTTCACAATCCAACAAATCCAAAAGCCGACAATTTGATTAATTTCTCACCTGTAGCACCGTAAACAAATACTGCAATCGTAGATCCGTCGATGACCTTTTCCATGAACTTTTGGACAGCTTTCGAAAATACATCGGCCTAAATAATCACAGCATTTATAAACCCTTTTGTGCCACTGAGAACTAAACATGGCGAATGAGATTAATGGGTACAAAGCTAGCTGAACTGCTTTATTAGAAAAAGTTCAAGACTGCTTGGAAACGAACACTCTGACTACAAACCGTGGCAGAATGATTTAGACCATCGTTCTGTTGATCCCTGGGGAAGGTGTAGTGAATGATTTCATCCAATGGAATAGGCGGTAATGTTGAATTTGAAAGATTTGAAACATCTTACAGATTGCATCAGAAGATGAGAAGAAAATAAGGTCCATTTGCGCAATTTGAATAATGAAGAATTGGGTAATTGGAATATTAAAATGCTGAATGGGTGCATCTTACCAATCAGACATTAGAGGGAAATGGAAGGAAAGTTTATAAACGTTGAACTGTCGATCATCTTTACATTTACGTGATTGGATCAAGGCCTTCTTATATTCGTTAAGTTACTGGTAGGGGCGCTGATGTAAATTTTAATTCCAGCATTGCCTTGTATTTTTGAAGGCAGAATCGACGGCAGCTATATGACAAACATGTTCGAAGATCATGGAGTGGACACCTGAATACAATGACTTCCACATGCAGAGGTTTAGAATTCCAGAGCCCCCTATCTTCATTAGAGATAGTTCCACTATTTTCAGTCGGTTCCTCACAGCCTCGTCTACTAACGCCTGCTCTTTTTCCCTGATTTAGGATGTTCCCGTTTTCGACTGTAAACTCCCTCTGTTGGTATCGTTCCCGTGGAACGATGTCTGTCTTTCTGTCTGCCCTTTTCAAAACGGGCAGCGTCTCGAGTTGCTGACTGGTATATTCGTCTTCTTGTCGACCTTCGCTGTCAAAGGGTGAGATGCATTTCTCATCACCGACTTTGCGAGGTCTGGCTTAGTTATCTAACAGCATGCACGACCCCTGGAAATCCAGGCGACGACCGTGCCGATATAGCGTTCGATAACGGCACTAACTTGAGGGGCAGGTGGGAAATTTGTGCGGGAACCTCGCCAAAGTCTTCACTCTTGCTCCTTTATCATTAGGGATTGGGACCAGCATCGAGAGAGTTATTGATTCAAAAACATTTTTCGCGTATATAATTATGGTTTACTTGACTATCGGATGGGCCAAAAACGAAATCGAACTTGTATGGCCTTTTAGTAACTCTTTCATCGCGTTCGGAGCGTTCGTGGAACGTAAGATCCTGAAGGTAATGAATGCAAAATGAGTTCTGACATACTTACCTGGTGATCATCCTGTATTTACCGCTTCACTCGTTTTCCATACGGTTTTTACAGTATCGCGACTCCTCTCGTGTGGGGGCAATGGACGAATCCGAACCACCACCTTAAATATCTTTATTTTAAAGGATTTATTTATTTTCTAGTAATTTCCGATTAAAAACTGGCGAAGATTTTTTCCATAAATTTTAAGACATAAAGTCATTAATGCTATTTATGGCAAAGTCTAAGTAGTCTCCGCGGGAGATGCTGTTGCAGTGATGGATTTCTGTTACAGCGTCAAAAGGAAAGCCTTAACATCGCAGTATCAAAATGTGAACTAAAACGAGAAACGAGCAAATTGATGTGCTGAAGATAGGGTATGGCCAGAAAAATGGCTCAAATCGACTTCATGCAGCTCATCCTCTGAAGATGGGACTCATTAGACAGGATTAATAACGGTCACTCCAAACATAAAGGGCAATCCTGCATTTTGCCGGTGTCACTGTACAGATTTTAGACTTAAACAATGCGGATGGTTGATGTGGCTAGCATTTAGATCTTCCATAAGACGATTCGGTAAATTTCTTTAACACAATTTAGTGATCAGTGAAATTGTCCAAATCTGAATGAACTTCTCCCTCCATTCTCACCTACTCTATCACTGGGGCTGCTCAGTCGCTGAGCAGTGGGACTCAGAACTGAGAGATCCCGAGGTCGATGCGCAGTCTGGTAGGTCTTCCTTCCCAGTTCGATAAATTAGCACCACTCTGCGAATAAGAACAGAATGGTAGCCCTGGTAATGGATGTT